CTTTGTTTATAATATCTTTGCTGAGCTTATTGTTTTCTTGTAGGAAGACGCAATGGCGTTGCATGATTTCTTAGCCGAAGCAGCTATAATGAAAGATCTACATCATAAAAATCTTGTTCAACTACTGGGTGTTTGCACACGTGAAGCTCCTTTTTACATAATCACTGAATATATGTGTAATGGAAACTTGTTAGAGTATTTAAGGTTGGTTTGTGTTCTTGCTTGTCATAATTGGACTTTTGCAGTACTTCAACTTACAGAAAATCTGATCGGTCAAAATTACCGCCTACAGTACTAATGTATATGGCTACTCAAATAGCATCGGCAATGGCGTACCTAGAGTCAAGGAACTTTATCCATAGGTAATTCTTGTGTTTCTTATTTTATAAATTTTTGTATCAAAGTGAACCGGGCCAAGCGCGGGTCTATAGCTTCACTGACTCTTCCATCTCTTTCTTATTACAGAGATCTCGCAGCACGCAACTGTCTGGTTGGTAGCGAAAATGTTGTTAAAGTAGCTGACTTTGGCTTGGCTCGATTTATGAGGGAAGATACCTACACAGCACACGCTGGCGCTAAATTTCCCATCAAATGGACGGCTCCCGAAGGGCTTGCCTTCAATACATTCAGCACGAAAAGCGACGTGAGTATGGCAAGTTTGGAAATGATTAGGCACCCAATCTGTAAGTTTCCCAGGTTTGGGCATTTGGCGTGCTGTTGTGGGAAATCGCCACCTATGGAATGGCACCGTATCCTGGTGTGGATTTGTCGAATGTGTATTCTTTGCTCGAGAAAGGATTTCGTATGGATTCACCTCCAGGATGCCCACCTAGCGTTTATCGTTTGATGCTACAATGGTATATTTTTTGCGCTTGTGGTTATCTCATGGAATTATCGCTGTCTTCATCTCCTGTTATAGTTGGATTTGGTCACCTAGCGATCGGCCAAGGTTTCGTGATATTCACGCTAGCCTTGAATCCTTGTTTCCACATTCAAACATTGATGAAGAGGTGTCTTTTTGATCCTTTCCTACTCCTGAAGTCATCGTATCTTTTTCTATAGGTGGATCGTCAACTGGAAAAGTCTCGTCTCACATCCCAACGCCGATCCCGTC